TGGAGCTGTCGAGTATGGCCTAAAAAACACAATAAGAGCCAGGGTACTAGAATATACGTATGGTGTGAGGATTTTTCCAAAATGGACTGAAGATGATCCTCTAGGACGAAAAGTTAATGATCGAATATATAAGTTTCATGAATTAGCCAAACGTGGAACTTGCGTTGATGTACAGTAAATCAAGGGTTTTCTGAGAATTTAATCCCTGTCTGCGAATATCAAACATCAATGAGAATAAGTACTTATGCTACCAAGGAGTATAGTGCGACGTATTGTGATGAACCGGGAATGCGTTTATTGGGAACCTTTGTCATTGAACTGCCGGATACTCATCTCGGTCTAAATAGAACAGTGGAGTATACATTTTTCTTTGGCAAGATGAATATTCATGGTATTGCAAAGAATATGACAAACGGAAATATTTACAATGCTTGTATTGAATTGGATTACAATTAATTTACACAGCACTGCATAAAAAAATTCATTAAATAGGTGTGATTTACTGTATGTGAAATTAGGAATAAAAAGGCTTTTCAAGGTTTTAAAAATCCTTTAAAGAAAAAAATTTTTAAGTTTCTATTTAAGTTCAATTTACGCGAGATCTTAATATACAGAGTTGAACAATTCTAATATATACATATACCGTATATACAGTTTAATGCAAAAATTTTGGAAAATAATTGATAAATTGAGTAACAAATAAAAAAAAAGAAATTATGGGTTTAAAAACAACTATAAAATCAGAATATTTATATATTTTCTGACAAAAAACCAGAATAAGGTTTTAAAAAAGGTCCTAACCAATATACTAATCTTTGGAAAGGAAATAATCATCATAACTTTATAATATTATTACAATACTAGAAAAGAATTGTAAGAATTAAATATAAATAATTAATTTTCTGAAGTAAACTATATTTGACAATCTATGTTGTCAACAATAAGAAAACTTCTTTATTTTATATATAATAGTACAAAGAAAGTAATAAAAATAAATAAAAACAAATAAAATAATTTTAAAAAATCTATAAAATCATTTAAATAATAAATTGTATATATGAGAAATGTGTTAAAAAAAATTATTTTTGAAATCTTTTTAAAGATTTCTTGAAAGATCAAATAAGATCAAAGAAATATTAATTATACAAGAAATAAAAAAGAATAAAAATAAAATATCAGATTGTTTTTTTTTATTTGTTATTATTTTAATCAGTCGACTAGATAATTTTATTTCAATTGAAAACATATTTGTTTAAAAAATGTATATTTCTTATCAAGACTTTTTTCTTTGTTTTAAAAATCTTAATTTTAAAGTCAGTTTAATATTATTCTGATAAGAAAATCTAAAATTTTTTATATATTGCAGGTTTTACAATCTTAAAGTTATAGATGTATTTTCTTATAATTAATAACTATATATTAAGTTAGTCAGATACATAAAGTGATTATTGAAAATAAAATCTGATTGGCAGTATTAATTACATAAGAACTTGCCTTGTTAAGAATCTAAACTATTAATTAATATTTTAAAATACAAATATATAAGTAAATTTATCTTAAATATTTAAAATATTATTGTTTTATTTATTATTCAAAAAAATAACTATAGAACTATATTTTTGTTTTATTTAGTTTCTAAATTGCATAAAACAAAAACTATAGTTAACTTATATTTTCAAAAGATTAATATAAAATAATTATATTATATTAATCATTAATATTGTTATTATTATTTTTAACAAGTCTGCTACTAATCCAGAACTAGTATTTATATAGTAATAAGTTTTAGATAAGCTCTTTTTCTTTTTTTTGAAACATGCTACAATTAAAACAAAAGTGCAAATAGCAATTTATTATTTAATTAGATGAATATTATAATCATAATAATATTATTATTGTTGAGCTATTCTATCTATATTTATATCAATAATAATATATACAATTATTTACTATTATATTATACAAATTATCCTAAGTTTAATAAACTTTTTAATATATAATTAATTTATTATATCATGTTTCAATTTTATTTATTATTCCTACAATATTCAGATTATTGATATAAAAAAAACTTTAATTATATATTTTCATAAATTCAAATTATACACATTTGTTTATTACTCTAAAAGAAAATTTAATCAACAATATAATTATAAATTAAATACAATTTCTAATTATTTACTATATTTACTTAGTAATTATAACATAATATGGTTTTTAAAAAACATCTGGATTTAATTCCACCATATATATAATTCAAATCACAATTCAAAATTCAAACATAAATTTCTTATTATTAATATTTGTTATATATTAGAATTAAATAGATACATATATAATCTTTTTAGCAATTTAACTTAAAGACGACTTGCTTAATATTGTTTAATTTGATTATACCAATGTTATTTTAAACCTGTTTAAATATTTAAAGATTATGTACAGTAAATACTTTATTATAATTTAAATACAAATATTTTTTTTAAGAATACAAGTACAACAAACTTTGCTTGTAATACGTATTTTTTTTATACAGACCATCTGTACTGTTATTCTGAATATACTGGATAAAATACTTTTAAATGAAAATAATATTAAACTTGTGAAATTTATCAATAAGTTTCAACTTTCCTTCTTATTAATCCTATAGTATTGAATACTTTTGTAGAATTAGATATAAGTCAAAATATTCTTTGATTCTATTGGTAAATATCTTAATGAATTAATGTTAAAAGAATCACTTATATATTGCAAAAATTGTATAATTGATAATATTAATACTTTAAATATTAATTATGTAGTTGTTCTTGTGATCTGATTCACGCGATTTTTCGTTCTAATAGATAATCTCTTGTCACACCTTGCAATATATCCAAAAACCTCCTTTTAAAATAATATAATAACCATATTTCCTAAAAGTTAATTTCTGCCTTATCAGGAAAGGAGAACAATTTTTTTACGGTTGTGATCAATAAACCGGAAAGGAAGTGTACAAATAATTTATTTGTTATTTTTCTATATAAAAGTATAAAGAACCAGTGATTTAAAAATATTTGTATCAAAATCATTAATTACTCTCTGATAGATAGCATATTGTGTGTGATACCGGTTTATAGCATCATGTATTAGGTGATGCATAAAATAACATACACAAACTTGACTCTTTTTTTTTCGTTTAGAAAAAAACCACCAATATAATCAATGACAATAGCAACGTTAATTCCAATGACCTTTAAGGACAATATCTATATAGTTTTCAAATCCAAATATGACAGAGTAAGACAACGAAATGAGTTCTTATTGTCATATATTGTCGTGAATTAATCTTCCACACGTAGCTTACGTTAGAAAATGCTGTTCTCTACTTAACAAAATATTAAATAACATAAATATTTAAAATTATTTGTGGAATTTAAGAGCTTTTCTGATTAATGACCAAAAAAAAACTCTTTACTCAGTCCTGTCTTATAATGCAATGAACATGGTTCTGGTCCAATTTGCTAATCCAATTTTGATCGGATACAGAAATGAGTTCAATTAACGAGGCAACGTAAGTTAACTTTATATAAGCAAAAGCAAGTATAATCAATCACTTTATACAAAGGATAACATTGCATCTTATTACATGACAAAATAATAAATTAAAAGGATTTCACTGAAATAATTTAGCCGTTGGATAGCTAATAATATAGTCTATAAATTTCGGAATCAATGCATAAAACACTCCGACTACTGTTTATAATATTAAGTGATGCACTACAATAGTATATTCACGTATAAAGAATTTATGCATGCGTCAAATTTTTATGTTTGGTATGAATAGACATTCTTTTCTCCCATCGAAAGAATTTTTATGTTTGGTATGAATAGACATTCTTTTCTCCCATCGAAAGAATTTTTATGTTTGGTATGAATAGACATTCTTTTCTCCCATCGAAAGAATTTTTATGTTTGGTATGAATAGACATTCTTTTCTCCCATCGAAAGAATTTTTATGTTTGGTATGAATAGACATTC